AGGGATTATAAGGTTTAGGGCTTAGGGATTATAAAACCCTATAGGGTTTTGGGGATTAGGGTTTTTGGGTATTTCTGGGGGGTCTTTAGGGTCGCCTTGGCGATGTGCTCCAGGGAGCTCTTGAGGATCTCCAAGGTCATCTTGCAGAACTGATAGAGCCTCGGGCTTCTCGGGGTTTAGGGTTTAGGGTTTAGGGTTTCGGTGTTGAGGGTTTCGGGGGTGTCGAGTTTGTTGTTGTTTATCCTCTTTTCTTTAGGGGCTTAGGGGTGTAGTCGTGTTTTCTCCTTTTTCGGGCTTCGGGTTTAGATTCGTTTCTCTTTCTTAGGGTTCATGGTTGAGGGCTTCGGGTTGAAGGGTTTGGGGTTTAGGAGTTTAGGGGTTTAGGGCTGGGGATTGAGGGGCTGTCGGGTTAGGGGGTTTGGGGGTTTACGGTGTGGGTTTAGGGCCTTGGGTTTCGGGTCGAAGTGGTTTTGGAGGTAGTTTTGGTGGTGGGTTGGCCGGTTGGACTGCCATGCCTGCTGTGAGAAAGCTGCTTCTCCACGAAAACATCGAGGTTTGAGTTTGGCAGGAGGCCATATCAGCCGCGCTGAGCAGCCAAAGCCAGTAAAAGTTTTGTGGATTTAGGTGTTTGGTTCCAGGCCCAACACAAGCAAGTTGAAGGTAGGGAACAGACTCGATGCAACAACAACTGCTGGAGTATGGTGGTTTGCTTCTTGCCTTTTGGGGTTAAGGGGTTTAGGGTTTAGGTTTAAGGAGTATGGTGTTGTGGTTTGCAGTCGTGTTGTTTGTTTTTTTCTGGAAAGGGGAAGTTACGGATATTACGGCTTAAGTTCTGGATCTGGGGACGTTACAAGGGTCTAAGGATTCTGAAACTAGTGTACTTCTACCCTAAGCCCTATACCCTAAACCCTACACCCTATACCCTAAACCCTAGACCCTAAACCCTATATACCCTAAACCCTATACCCTAATAAACCCTATATACCCTAAACCCTAAACCTCATACCCTAAACC